GGTTTGGGTTTGGTTTTAATAAAAAAAAAACCGAAAAAAATCGAATCAAACCAGCTATAGGAGTAGCTATTTCAAATTTATTATTACACCTATATAGATGTATATTTTTATACAAAGATTCAAAAATTTAATTGTAAATGTTAATGGTTTGCACTTTTATTATAGTTCTTTACCTTTACATTCTAGTATCATTGGTAGTTTTCTTTTGTTAAGTGTAAGAATTCATTTCGTGTTAAAAATTATATATTTTTAGTTGAGTTCTTAAATTATTCATCACTATTTGATTCAATTATCATCAATATATCTTGGTAAATAATAGATTTTTCAAAGGGCATTTGATTTGATAGTGTTACGTTGAAAATGTGGTCACAGGAATATGTGTTCGGTAGTGTATGTCTTATATTTAAGAAAAAATCGATAAATAACCGAAAAAATCAAAAAACCGACAAAACCCGACATAAACCGAATCGAGAAAAAACCGACTTAATTGGTTTGACTTGGTTTTAATATTTGAAAAATCGACTTACTTGGTTTGGTTTCTTTTAATGAAAAAACCGATCCAAACCGGACCATGAACACTCCTACTGCTAACAGCTGGAATTCGCCTGAAACTATCCATGATCAGCTGGTCATACCACTAGGCATATAAGACCATCTCCAACCCTAACACCAAATTTCAATCCAAAATGGTGTAACACCAAATTTATTCCAACAATTACACCATTTTTTACACCAAAAAAGAATATTTCTTTCTATATTCTTCTCTCCCTTCTATATTATATTATTATCTTCTATTTAAATTTTACGTTTTATTTCCTTCCAAATTCTATCTTTTTTCTTTTTTTCATATTCATCACATATAATTCATATTCACCACTTATATAATTATTTATTACAAAATTATTTTAAAGGATAAATCAATTAAAAGTGAAAGCATTGATAAAAGATAATTAAATAAATATTATATCATAGTCAAATTTAATTTAAGTACCACATAAATATTTAACTTTCTCCTCTATTCTCCGATAAATGCTCGATTAATGCATTACGAAGTGCGAAATGCGCATCTTTATCCTTAATTTTTTTGTGTCGAGCTAAAAATTGTTCAAATCGGTGATCTTCATCTACTTTCATTTCTACCGTAGGAGCTGGACATTCATGTGCATCTTGAATTGGTGCATTAAGATCACACTCGTCCTCAATTATCATGTTGTGCAGTATAATACATGTGGTCATTATATCACGTAGCACCTCTTTTCTCCAAAAACGTGACGGACCTGCAACAATTGCAAAACGAGATTGCGAAACTCCGAATGCACATTCAACATCTTTTCGACATATTCTTGTTTCATTGCAAAATATTTCTTCTTTGCTGAACGTGGCTCCCGAATAGTTTACACAATAGTAGACCATTTTGGATATATACCGTCAGCTAAATAACAACCGATGTCATATTCTTTTCCTTGAATAACATAACGGGTTGGAGGAGCAATACCATTAGCGAGATTGGAGAATAAATGTGATGATTCTAAAACATCAATGTCATTGTTGGTGCCGGGCATACCAAAATATGCATGCCATATCCAAAGATCGTAATCAGCTACATCTTCAAGAATAATTGTTGGGGATCCACTACGACCTGCATATTGTCCAGCTCATGCCGTTGGACAATTTTTCCATCTCCAATGCATGCAATCTAAACTGCCTAGCATTCCTAGAAAATCACGTTGTTCACCGATATACAGAAGCCTTGCAACATCGTTAGCTGTTGGTGATCTCAAATACTGATCGCCAAAAACCTCTACGACAGCTCGACAAAATCTCTTCATGCTTTCAATTGCAGTTGACTCTCCAATTTTGACATATTCATCAGCGGCATCTGTTGGCAAAAACCATATGCCAACATTCTAAACACGGCTGTAATTTTTTGTAGAGTGGATAATCCAAATCTACCCGCCGCATCAGCGCGTTGTTCGGAGTACATATCATGACCTTTAATTGCATCAACAATTCGAAGGAATAAATTTCGGGACATTCGAAATCGACGACGAAACATACCCTCACTAAAGATGGATTATCCGACAAATAATCGAGAAATAAATTATTATCAGCACCTTCCCTATCTCGATGGATTACCAAGTGACCTGGAATGGAGCCAACTCTCCTAGGATAATTATTTTGATATTTTTGGAAATGCTGCAACATATAATTGTTCATTTGAGTATTTTGCATGAATAGTTGCTGCTCAACTTCATCAACGACAGTGAAAGATGATGATGATGAAGAGGAATTTTCATCATCATTATTAGATGAACCTCCCATATAAAAATTCATTTTCAGAAGAAAATAAGAACACTTGATTAAATTTTGAAATGAATTGAATGTCCGATATTATTTTTCTAAATGATGTTCGGTTTTATAGAGAGAAGAATGTGTAGAGATAATTTAAAAAAAATAAATAAATGTAGAGATAATGAGGAAATTCATCCTACGATTGATAGTGGGATGAAATCCAATCCGACGGTTAATATTAAGATAAGAGATATTTTTTTTAAAGATAATTTAGAGATAATGAGGAAATCCATCATACGGTTGATAATGGGATAAAATGCAATCCGACGGTTGATATTTAGATAAGAGATATTTTTTTTTGTTTTTTTAAAGATAATTTAGAGATAATGTGGAAATCCATCCTACGGTTGATATTGGGATGAAATTCATCCGACGGTTGATATTAAGATAAAATCTATCCTTTGTGTCTACTTTATCTTTATATATTGAGGTGGGAACATACTAATCCATAACCACAACTAGCTTTTGTTTTTCTGTAATCATATAATTCATTTTTCCTCTAATCACTTAAAAATGTCCGGTCGATCGGCAGGATACACTACAAATGAAGATAAATTATTATGTCTAGTTTATTTAGATGTTTCTCGAGATCCTGTAACGGGAATCTATCAATCTTAAGATAATTTTTGGAATTGAGTCGTCGCAGCTTACAATCGTGCAAAGGAAGAGAATTGGGTGGAGCGCAACCAAAATCGGTGCAATGTCGACTTCAAACAATTGAGAAGTGTGTCAGAAAATTAAACGGATATATTCGTCAAGTCGAAAATTTACATCCAAGTGGTGCTTCTGAAAAAGATATCGTAAGTATTTTTTTTAGTTACTTGATTATACTATATTTATTTATATTTGCTTATTGTTTATCTTACTTTTACTTAAATACTGCAGATTGCACTATAAAAAGTTTTACTTATGCAAGACCCGAATTTTAAAAAAGGCTTTAAATTATATCATGTGTGGGATATGATGAAAGATTTTGAGAAGTTTAGCGATGTTGATTTTGGAAGAACAAAAGCAAATGAAGATTTGAGTATTTTGCATGAATATTTGCTGCTCAACTTCATCATCGGCAGTGAAAGATGATGATGATATCATCATTATTAGATGAACCTCCCATATAAAAATTCATTTTTAGAAGAAAAATAAGAACACTTGATTAAATTTTGAAATGAATTGAATGTCCGATATTATTTTTCTAAATAATGTTCGGTTTTATAGAGTGAAGAATGTGTAGAGATAAAAAAAAGAAAAAGAAATGTAGAGATAATGAGGAAATCCATCATACGGTTGATAATGGGATGAAATTCAATCCGACGGTTAATATTAAGATAAGAGATATTTTTTTAAAAGATAATTTAGAGATAATGAGGAAATTCCTCCTACGGTTGATAATGGGACGATATGCAATCCGAGGGTTGATATTAAGATAAGAGACATTTTTTTTTGTTTTTTTAAAGATAATTTAGAGATAATGAGGAAATCCATCCTACGGTTGGTATTGGTATGAAATCCATCCGACGGCTGATATTAAGATAAAATCTATCCTTTGTGTCTACTTTATCTCGATATATTGAAGTGGGAACATACTAATCCATAACCACAACTAGCTTTTGTTTTTCTGTAATTATATAATTCATTTTTCCTCTAATCACTTAATAATGTCCGGTCGATCGGCAGGATACACTGCAAATGAAGATAAATTATTATGTCGAGTTTATTTAGATGTTTCTCAAGATCCTGTAACGTGAATCTATCAATCTAAAGATAATTTTTGGAATTGAGTCGTCACAGCTTACAATCGTGGAAAGGAAGAGAACTGGATGGAGCGCAACCAAATATCTCTTATCTAAATATCAACCGTCGGATTGCATTTTATCCCATTATCAACCGTATGATGGATTTCCTCATTATCTCTAAATTATCTTTAAAAAAAATATCTCTTATCTTAATATCAACAGTCGTATTGGATTTCATCCCATTATCAACCGTAGGATGGATATCCTCATTATCTCTACGTTTCTTATTTTTTTTTTAAAATTATCTCTACACATTCTTCACTCTATAAAATCAAACATCATTTAGAAAAATAATATCGGAAATTCAATTCATTTCAAAATTTAATTAAGTGTTCTTATTTTTCTTCTGAAAATGAATTTTTATATGGGAGGTTCATCTAATAATGATGATGAAAATTCCTCTTCATCATCATCATCTTTCACTGCCGATGATGAAGTTGAGCAGCAACTATTCATGCAAAATACTCAAATGAACAATTATATGTTGCAGCATTTCCAAGAATATCAAAATAATTATCCTAGGAGAGTTGGCTCCATTCTAGGTCACTTGGTAATTCATCGAGATCGGGAAGGTGCTGATAATAATTTATTTCTCGATTATTTTTTGGATAATCCACGCTTTATTGAGGGTATGTTTCGTCATCGATTCAAATGTCCCGAAATTTATTCCTTCGAATTGTTGATGCAATTAAAGGTCATGATATATATTTCGAACAACGCGCTGATGCAGTGGGTAGATTTGGATTATCCACTCTACAAAAATTTACAGCCATGTTTAGAATGTTGGTATATGGTTTGCCAGCAGATGCCACTGATGAATATGTCAAAATTTGAGAGTCAATTGCAATTGAAAGCATGAAGAGATTTTGTCGAGCTGTCGTAGAGGTTTTTGGCGATCAGTATTTGAGATCACCAACAGCTAACGATGTTGCAAGGCTTCTGTACGTCGGTGAAATACGTGGTTTTCCAGGAATGCTAGGCAGTTTAGATTACATGCATTGGAGATGGAAAAATTGTCCAACAGCATGGGCTGGACAATATGCAGGTCGTAGTGGATCCCCAACAATTATTCTTGAAGATGTAGCTGATTACGACCTTTGGATATGGCATGCATATTTTGGTATGCCCGGCACCAACAATGACATTAATGTTTTAGAATCATCACATTTTCTCCAATCTCGCTAATGGTATTGCTCCTCCAGCCCGTTATGTTATTCAAGGAAAAGAATATGACATCGGTTATTATTTAGCTGGCGGTATATATCCAAAATGGTCTACTATTGTGCAAACTATTCGGGAGCCACGTTCAGCAAAGAAGAAATATTTTGCAATGAAACAAGAATCATGTCGAAAAGATGTTGAATGTGCATTCGGAGTTTTGCAATCTCGTTTTGCAATTGTTGCAGCTCCGTTACGTTTTTGGAGAAAAGAGGTGTTACACGATATAATGACCACATGTATTATACTGCACAACATGATAATTGAGGACGAGCATGATCTTAATGCACCAATTCAAGATGCACGTGAATGTCCAGCTCCTACGGTAGAAATGACAGTAGATGAAGATCACCGATTTGAACAATTTTTAGCTCGACACAAAAAAATTAAGGATAAAGATGCGTATTTCGCACTTCGTAATGCATTAATCGAGCATTTATGGGAGAATAGAGGAGAACGTTAAATATTTATGTGGTACTTAAATTAAATTTGACTATGATATAATATTTATTTAATTATCTTTTATCAATGCTTTCACTTTTAATTGATTTATCCTTTAAAATAATTTGTAATAAATGATTATATAAGTGGTGAATGTGAATTATATGTGATGAATATGGAAAAAAGAAAAAAGATAGAATTTGGAAGGAAATAAAAAGTAAAATTTAAATAGAAGATAATAATATAATATAGAAGAGAGAGAAGAATATAAAAAGAAATATTCTTTTTTGGTGTAAAAAATGGTGTAATGGTTGGAGTAAATTTGGTGTTACACCATTTTGGTGTGAAATTTGTTGTTAGAGTTGGAGATGGTCTACCAGTTCTATTTCCACTTTCTTGCATAGCGTTACAAGCCAGATACTGCAATTAACGACACTTGTAAGTGTTGCTGTTATTGCTTGAATCTAGAAAGGACAAGTTAAGCATGGCTTTGCCTTGCGATAAATTTACTTATCCAAGTTTGGATTTCCAGTAATTGTTCACTTATTATCAGTATTACTCGAAGTGTACCTTATTATTGGAAGTCTAAACCAACTTCTCTTGTTTCCGTCAATTCTACTTGAAAATTCAAAATAATGCAAACATTACTTTGAGATCTTTCCATAAGGTGAAAATGATCAGATTAATACTCATCTTGAATATAATGCATTTTTTGTCTATCACGTAAATTGAACTGGATGCTATAACAAGAAAAAGAAAATCACGTAGTAAATTTGCGCCTATATGTTGTTTGATAGAAGTGGGGCCTCTTTTTTTAGTTGAACTTTTTGTTCGGGTAAGATTAGTGTTTGAAGCGGGTTAGTACGAAAACTGGTAGATATGGGTGAGTCTTTCTAATAGGTTATCTATTTTAATTTTGGCTAATAAGAAGTTGCCACATATAATTCAAATAATTATTATTTTTAATCAGCATTGACCTAACGGTCAAGAGCATAAATGAACCAAAATGTGAATGAAAGGGTATTTTTAGCTAGGGTATTTTTAAATTTTTTACAACTATTTAGGACATTTTAAACCCTTTTCCACTAGAATACGTCTGGGATAGGTAAGAGGACCTAGAGTTGTTTTGCTTTTGCACCTTCCATGTGAGGCTACAGGAAAGCAATTCTCGGGCCTAGCTCCCTTCAAGTGTATTCCAGTATGGCTTTTTTGTCTGTGTTATCTCGAAATTCCCATCTCTCTTATCTTTAATTAAAGTAGTACTACTATTTCTTTACCTTTTCGTTACCGTTGCTTGTTTTTCCTTCACTTTGTCCTATTGTTTGTATTCAAGTCAAAAAGAGGCCAGGCACTTGTCATGCCAACCTGCTATCTTTTGTCAGACCTTTCCAGACTCAGAAAAGAGAGTTACTAGAGAGAGAAAAGGGGCCCACAGCATAGAAGAGCATCTTTGTTTCTTTGAACAGACACGTGGCACCATGGATGTGGAAAATGGTCTCAAAGATCAATAAAGGTGGAGTATCTAAAGGACTAGAGAGAATTTAAACGCACAACTTTAAATGATGAAATGATTCTTCTATTAAGTGGTTAGATGCTTGATACATAGAGATGCCCAAATTGAATTTCCACAAGAGCTTAGCCTAAATGCAATTTTGAGCGAAAGATTCTCCATTACTACACTAGAAATGACAAGAGAATTACTCGACAAAAATTAGTGATATAAATCATACTTTATCAAAAAGAATCTGATCCTAAATGATTTGCTTAACAATTATGCTTCTTTAAACTTCGATTAGTACAATATTAGTATAGTACAAAGTTCTCCCTTTCATTTTTCCATATCCCACCAATCTTTCTTTGATTAGACTTCCTCCATCTAGTGGGAGAAAAACTTATAGCCTGTTTGGCCAAGCTTCTTTTTGGACAAAAGTGTTTTTTTTTGTCGAAAGCACTTTTGGCCAAATATTGAGGTGTTTGGCCAAGCTTTTGGAAGGAAAAAAGTGCTTTTGAGGAGAAGCAGAAGCAGTTTTGGAGAAGCAGAAAAAAGTAGCTTCTCTCCAAAAGCACTTTTTTGACAAGCACTTTTGAGAAAAATACACTTAGAACCAGATTTTTAAAGCTTGGTCAAACACTAATTGCTGCTCAGAAGTGCTTTTCAAACTAATTAGCCAAACACAAACTGCTTCTCACCAAAAGTACTTTTGAGAAAAGCACTTCTCAAAATAAGCAGATTTTTACAGATTGACCAAACGGGCTATTACTCGATAAATCAAAATATACGTTAAATAAATCCTTGTTTTTAGTTATATGAGCGTATCTAAAAGAATACGTCATATATTCAATAGTGTGGTGTGTGTGTTAGGGAGATCAGCGGAGTTTAGATCATAAAGAAAAGGCTAACCCCCCTTACGGATCATTTGTAAAAATTGCACGGGGCGTCCTATTTGGGCGCCCCTTTTTAACCTGTAGCCGCTTTGTCTTTTTGTTTGCATCCGTACCCACTTTTTAAAAAACTTCAGCTTCCCTTTATAACTGGGAAACTTCAGCTCTANGTTGGCTGAAATTTTGGTACTGTGTTGTATATTTTTGGGGTGTTTTAAGCCCAACCTAGGTTTGGGGTGTTGTAATTGATGGTTGATGATGTGTAGTTGATTGGTGGTATGGTTGTAGTTGCTATATGGTGGTGTTGTATCTCATGTGTAACATTGAAAGGAGTAAGTGTGGGGTGTATTATGCCGGAAGTGGTAAGAAAATTATGGGGCTATTGTGGAGGTTGTTATGAATGAATTAAGGGGAAGTATTTGGTGTCATCGGGTGGTGAAGTCTGAGTAACCATCTGAGTGGCACTAGTTAGGGAATATTTTGATGGTTCGTTTGATTATTTGCAGGTCATATGGCTCCCAAAAGACAAAGGCGATCTAGAGGCCCATCCCAGCGACCTACTTATGATGAGTCCAGATTCCAATCGGAACTGGCGGAGGACGACTTCAATGCCAAGGCTACAAAGACCTTCCTCCATGAGATCCCGATTGATCGGGTAGCCCTCCGAGCCGAAAAGGTGGAGATGTATGAAGAAATACGGAGGCGGGAAATGGAATTCCTATTTAACGACCCTGCACCAGTTAACAAGATGCTGGTTCGAGAATTTTACGCCAACTGCCCATTGCACTTGGGTAGGGAGGTGATTGTTCGGGGTACGGTGGTCAATGCTAAAGTTCCAACAATTCGCCAGGTGTTGTGGCTGCCTCCGTTCACCAGTGACGTCGACTATTACCATGACAGACCAGGGGTGACATGGGAGGTCATGACGGATGTACTTTGCACAGGGGGGCAACCCATTTGGATACGTGACCAAATAACCCTCAACTCTAACTCTTTCACCCACTTGGCCAAGTGTTGGTTGACTGTTATCTGCAGCAGGTTCCTGCCATCCAGCAATACAACGGACGTGAACTTCAATCGGGCACTGTTGACTTGGTGCTTTGTGACAAGAAAGGATTTTGATGCGGCCTGGATAATTGGTGATGCAATGGTCTTACGGGGACCGCTGCTGACAAAGGGATTCGGTTTCCCTTCCTTGGTAACCACACTGTGCTTGATGAGAAACACCCCCACCAATCCTGCCGATGGAGATTTGCCACCCAAAGCAGCATTCAAAGCTTCTAGCATCAGAGTGGGCCGGGGAATAAGGACCACAATTGAGATAGATGACGAGGATAATGATCCGGTCCCTCTTGCTCCATCCAGGAGGTCCGCTGACAGTGCCGGACCATCTAGATACACTCATTCTGGGACTGGCATATCCAGATCACAATCCACCAGGCCTATGCTGCGGTCCATGGAAGAAGAGGTTGCAGATCTCTGCACTTCAGTGGATGGATTACACACAAGGATGGATGCTATGTCCCAGAGGCAATCCAGGACTGAGAGCCGCTTCATGGCCTGGTTCCGTGCATTGGGGAGAGCCTGCCATGTCGACCCCAGCACTGTCTCTGACTCTGACTGAGTCTCAGGGAAGTCTTCTAACCCTTCTGCTCTTTACTTTATTTATATGACATGGGGACATGCCATGATTTTAAGTGTGGGGTAGGAGACTTGCTCTGTTTGTATGTTGTATTATGTATAGCTGTAATGTAGTGTAGCGTTAGTGTTAGGTCAAAGTCGGAACTAATTAAAAAAAAAAACCCCAAAAACAAAGTTAGAGGACTCTTCCTGATGACGGACTATGTGGACAGTACTCTTGAGGGAAGTAGTCCATGTAGAAATTTTTTTTTATTTTATTTTCTTCTTTTAGGTAGTGTAGTACCTCCCCCTTGGTTTTTCTTTTGACCACGGTTCTTTTCCAAGGGTTTTTCTTGAACCGGGTTAGGTAGATTTTTTTTTCTTTTTGTAGTTTTAGGATTAGATGGGTGAAGGTCAGAATGTAACTCCAAATGTGCACACTTGCAAAAAGAACTTGAGAGTGTGACGTCTAAGCTTGTTTGTGGACTCATAATATATGCCTTAATTTTGCACATCTTGTCTTGCTTGAACACTCGTATGATTGTGTTGATGAACGGATTCAGAATGAGTTACATGCTAAGTGTGTGTGAGTTGTTACTTGCATCCTATGCTTGCATATGATACCTAGAACTTGCCCTGTATGTTTGCAAAGCGAAATAGAAGTCGTTTGGTTTTAGAGATGATTGAGGCATTTCTTTGTGCAACCCTTTATATCCTGAGAATCCACCTGTGCATATTATCATAGTTAACCCCTTTGAGCCTGAAGCCTGTTCTTTGATAACCCTATAATGATCTAAATCGTTGTGTTTGAATAAGCTTAATTGTTTGAACCTTTACCTCCTAGAAGCACTTGAATCACTAAAGAATATACAAAAGTCAAAGTGTTGGGTGGGAGAGAGTTAGTGAAAAAAGGGAATCAAGAATGAAGGTTTTGATTGGTGAGCTGGCATTGTACAATAAATCTCTGGAAAAAAAAGAAGAAGAAGCCAGTTGTACCTAAAGAAAAGTGGGGTCACAAGTGAAACAAAATGTGGAATAATGATTGGGTTGAACATAAAGGTGAAATAAAAGGAAGTGTGTATTAAAAGTGCTTAGGGAGGTTAGTCACTATATCCAAATATATCCTACCCGTCCCTTAGCCTACATTACAACCTATAAAGACCTCTTGATCTTTGACTGAATGGCTCGATTAGTAGAGTATTACACTAGGGGCAAGCTTATGGTGTGTTTGTGTGGCATGTGAATGCTCTTTACTGAGAGTGAGTGAATTCTTTCTATATATGGTTCCTTGTTGTTGAATTTTATGTGTGTGGAACTTCTCTTAGATTTTGTTTATGTGAGGGCATGTGACTCAGGAAGAAAAAGTGAGTCTTCACTTCTGTTAGAGTAATTAGAGTGAGCACAAGTGTGTCTTGGCATGAGAGTCTGCATTTGAGATATGATTGTGCACTGCTTAGGTCGATCATTGATAATAACAGGTGTGACATAAATTGGGGCAATGCATTGAACAGTTAGGCCTAGAAGTGTGGTTTAGTTTGCTCGAGGACGAGCAAAGGTTTAAGTGTGGGGTGTTAATAATAGGTGAATTTAACTATAATCATGCCTTAAATAACCACCTTTTTGTATAGTTTTGATGATAAAAGTGATAACAAAATGCTCTTATTAGTGCTTTTCATGATTTGCAGGTGATATATGACCAGGGAAGGCTAGGGAGTACTTTTGGAGTCAAAAAATGAAGAAAAAGAGGCCAACTGTGAAATTCCCCAAGTAAACCACGCAAATCAGGCCTGAAGATTTAGAGAACTGTGTTGATCGCGGTTCCACCGCGACCGCGGTAGAACCGCGGTGGAAGAGAGCTGCAGAAAAAATGAGATTCAGAGAAGGCATTTGGCCGCGGTTCTACCGCGACCGCGGCAGAACCGCGGCAGGCGCAGAAAAGTTCAGGGGTCAAACTGTCAAATATGGAATTTTTAGACCTAAACCCTATTTAAACATTAGACTTCGCCCAAGAGAATCATTATTGATTTTTAGGGTTTCTTAGCAAGGAAAACCATTGTGAGAGAATACTCCAAAACATCTTTCTACTTTACTTTTGATTTTTATGATGAATTCTATCTTAATTTATTTTCCCATAGCCATGAGTAGCTAAATTCCTTGTCTAAGGTTTTGATGGAACCTATTGGGTGATGAACTTCTTGTTTATGTGAATACAAATTACTAATTTAATCTCTATTTGTTCAACTTCGTGTTTGTTGTAGTTAATTGACAGGATCCTCAATTAGCTGTGCCTATTTAGTGTGCATAACTTGGAAAAGAGTGCATATTTAGGGTATTGTTGAACAACACCACTCCTAGATTATTAGAGGAATCTATAATTGCGGGTTTAAAGGCGGGATTAGGGATAACGAAGCCTTGGGTGTAATCTAAAGTGAATCGTGCTAAATAAAGTAAGCTAGTGTATCTCGGGAGAGTGCAATTAATTATTTTCTTGTAAAAATTGCACGGGGCGCCCTATTTGGGCGCCCCTTTTTAACCTGTAGCCGCTTTGTCTTTTTGTTTGCATCCGTACCCACTTTTTAAAAAACTTCAGCTTCCCTTTATAACTGGGAAGCTGAAGTTTCCGGGTTACTAAAGCTCTAGAGCTGAAATTTTCGGGTTACTAAACAAAAACTTCAGCTCTAGAGCTGAAGTTTTTATTTTATAACTGGCAAACTTAAGCTCTAGAGCTGAAGTTTTTATTTTATAACTTGAAAACTTCAGCTCTAGAGCTGAAGTTTTCGGGTTACCAAACAAAAACTTCAGCTCTAGAGCTGAAGTTTTTATTTTTTAACTGGAAAACTTCAGCTCCTCTAGAGCTGAAGTTTTTATTTTATAACTTGAAAACTTCAGCTCTAGAGCTGAAGTTTTTATTTTATAACTTGAAAACTTCAGCTCTAGAGCTGAAGTTTCCGGGTTACTAAACAAAAACTTCAGCAGCTCTAAAGCTGAAGTTTTTATTTTATAACTGGCAAACTTCAGCTTCCCGGTTACTAAACAAAAACTTATAAAATAAAACTTCAGCTCTAGAGCTGAAGTTTTTATTTTATAACTGGCAAACTTCAGCTCTAGAGCTGAAGTTTTTATTTTATAACTTGAAAAATTCAGCTCTAGAGCTGAAGTTTCCGGGTTACTAAACAAAAACTTATAAAATAGAACTTCAGCTCTAGAGCTGAAGTTTTTGTTAGAGCTGAAATTCGCGAGTTAAAAAAAAAAACTTCAGCTCTAGAGCTGAACTTCAGGCCCGGCTACTAAAATGCTGAAGTTTTGTGTAATTGCCTTTGCTACTTCAGCCCCGTGTGCTGAAGTTATGTGAAAAAGCGGGTACGCTTGCAATTTTTTTTGCAAAGCGGGCACAGGTTAAAATGTGGCACAAAAAGCGAGTATAGATGCAAATGCCCCGATCATTTCACTTGCTTGACTGGTTCGCTTTCCAAGTTACTCACTTCCGTTCTTTCGGGGTTGATTAAGGGAAGCAAATAGAGAAGGTAAGGGACCGCTTTCCTTGTTCAAGCCGGTATTCACTACAAGAAAATGGGCCTTTAACGAGGGGAAATTCGGTCGCTAAAAGTTCAAATTCGGTCGTTATTAATCAATTACGACCGGAAAAAATCCGGTCGTCACCGGTCGTTCAAAGCTCCGTCGTTAAAAGTACACGACCGGATCCTACTCCGGTCGTTAAAAACCCTTTAGCGACAGTAAGAAATCCGGTCGTTATATCTCCTTCTAGCGACCGACATTTCCCTTCGCTATTTGTCATTTCGGTCGTAAAAAAACTCCAATAACGGGGCAACTACTTCTGTCTTTTTAATTGCTTTTAAAGAATAGAACTCCTTATGTTGATTGTAGTTATGCTTTCACATATATACAGACTTACAAAAATATACAAAATAGTCAATGCTCATATAAAACATCACTCTTTAATTACAAAGAACTAAAGAGTCACATTACAGAATGTATACACATCCAAATTGTATGATATTATTATTTTTCCACTGAGAGAAAACAAAAATGGAATTGTCGCATGTACAAATGGAAACATATGTAAACAACCGCTAGAAAAATAAAGTAGGTTCTTCTTGTACTTCAACTTCTTCTTTCAAATTCAACTCGCTTTACACTATCTCAAAGATGATTCTTCATGACTTCAAATTCTTGATCTGTTCAAAGAAAAAGTTTATGTTAGTTTAGCAAGCAAACTACTACTAGCTACTTTTGTTTAGGACATAAATGAGTATTTAAGATTGTTAGGTTGCTAACACTATAAGATGTAAAAATATATTTTATAGCATTATGAATTGTTAGAGCTTCTTACACTAATATCAATAAATCAAACAGTAAAAATATCACTAAATCTATAACATATAATGGGCTATAAGTGCAAAATCAAAAAGAAAGAGCAGCAACAACATGAAAAGCAATACTACCTAACATCATAATATCACACCAAACAAGAGCAAATTAAACATAATATATCAAATAAACCAATCTACGATTGAAAAGGCTTCTATTGACAAAACCAAGAAAATAACAACAGACCGAAGAGCATCAAGTATGTCACATGACTCATCCAGATATTTCCAATACACACACTCAATAGCAGAGCTCAAATGGAAGACTGATGCAAAGCCAAAAATACACACAACCATGGAGAATTGACAACTAATAACACATTCGATTAGAAACGGGATGACAAAGTATGAGAGAAATCTAAGGTACTTACGTGAACTCTATAGAACCAGAACCAAAGTAAAATTACTGTTGTTACTGCATAAAATCAAAACCCTTTTAAAACAGCGGCAACAACCAACTTGAAACTAAGTTTCAGCATTTTCTATATAAAAAGCTCCATTACCAATACAGTAAGAGTTCTAAAAATAACATGACATATTTACTAAAACTAAAATTGCATATTCAAGCTCAATTTAGCTCCAGGTACATTGCAGAGGCTATAGCTTTTCTTGGGATCGTCTTATGAACCTGGTTTATTTTTATTTTATATTATAAGTAGCTAAGTACTTTGATATTCTCATGGAGATTTGATTTTGTGTCCCCTTCCACTATAATCCTTTGTTATCATTCTTATATACGAGGTAGGGATTCATTCCAAACCCCCCAACATCATGGGAGGTGAAAGCTATTTTTTTTAAAAGTAAAATAAAAATATTCAAGCTCAAATATTAAACGAAATGTAAAAGTTGCATTCCTAATTTAATATCATAGTTTTAACTCTAGTTTCTCCTCTATGAACCGGCTCATTCCTTTTTATTAAATTGAGCATTTTGCTCATCTTCTTTAAAAAATCATACAATTAATATGAGGGAGTTTTACATGCTATCAACTTGCCTGTTCTACTATTTTGAATTTTTGAAACAACTAATGAATCCTTTCTTTACCTAGAATACAAATGCTCTTCTTCCAACTATCATCTCATAGAAGTTTAACAATATAAAGAAGAAAATAAAGAAGAAAATAGATTGAAACCATATGATACCTTGAGATGGGCCGAGAAATTCCAATATTGAGGAGCTCAATAGCAATCTATCAGATGTAGGAACTCCACTAATAGATTCAAGCACCAAAATTACAAAACCAATGTCTAGCATATACTATCAGATCTAGGAACTATATTTGTACAATTTAAATTAGCAAAGAGTCACAAAAATACTAGAAAATACATTAAGCAGTAGTTGGTTCACTAAATTAATAGAAGATTAAACTAAACCCATGCAATTAATTAGCAATCAAAAGTGTTATAAATTTTTTAAAAAAAAGACAAAGAACCCAAATCTCTCAATCAGTCAATGCTCCAAATCTATTTCTAGATTAGAAGATTAAAAGGGAAAATAAGAATATTTGAAGTACTTGTAATAGATGAATCTGAGAATAGTCCTAACTCCTATGATATGCTGGTACTTTCACTTTCTTTCCTTTATAGAGCATTGTCTAATATTTCCATCTGCTCTTCAAAATACTCAAATAAGTAAGATACATTATCAAAATCAGCAAGTATTAAACAAAAGTTATTTTGCTGTGATTTCCTAACTATTGTTGTCCCTTTTGATAAAATTAGGTGATGTCTTTTCTCACAAAAATGAATCTCCTGCTCATAAAAAGTGTAAGAAACTGCCCATCTTTGCTTAGTTTTTTCTAATATCTTGTTGTATAAGGTTTTTTCTTCTATTTCTTTGTCTTTAATTAGTAGGGGGATACATATATTTTTGTACACTAGGAACATGTAGCTACATGGTTAACCGTGCATTGTTGCTTTTGTTTTTGTACATGTGTTTTACCTCTTCAACCCACCACAGTTTGCCCTGTACACTAATTTACTAAAGAGTATTTCACCTTATGTTCAATATCTACTTGTTCAGATCTAATCAGTAACTCTAGGAGCGTGCCTTTAAATTGAGGAAGAAGAACAATTTGTGTGGTGTCTGTCTTGAAGGTATAAGCTCACCACTCCAACAACAACAACAACAAAACCAACTTAATCTCATACGTGTGGTCTGAGGAGAAACACACAACTACCTATCAACCCGCCACCTCCACACATATAAAGATAGTTCACATATTAATGTAAGTAGGTAACTCACAACCGGGTAGCATTAACATAGCAGGTAAAACAACAGCAAATACCACAAACATTTAACAATTGATATTATGTACGCATCAAGACAGATGTAGACTTACTGGTTGGGAGTACAAACTCCTGGCGGATGCCCATCCTCACCCTATTTGAAGTGAAGGATATCAAAGCAGAGAGAAAAAAGTATAGACATAGATAGGTGCTCTGTCTTCAGGTAGAAACCTATTCTCTTGCTCCAGCAACATCCAACTAATTAGAAGAAACCAATGGGAAAAAATGTAGACATAGATAGGTGCTCTGTCACACTACAGATATATTTTATATCTCTGGATAACAAACTATTCATCCATAATGTAATGGAGTTATATTTCAGGTGGAGTAACATACGTTGAAGGACCTATTTTCAACTAGAAAGAATATGTCCAGTTAGGAATATGAGTACTTCCTTCCAAAAATGAAGCACATCAAGAGCCAATCTCCTTCATCCATGGATCATTGGAAACAAACTACAATTCCCATTAACTGAAGCTGTAGTCCAAAAAGAGGATTAGCAAAATGATATCTGCAAACACTATGAATTTCCAGCGAGACAAGGACAGATAGGTAGATAAAATCAATATACATACATGAAACTTTTAGACATAAATAATGACCATCCTGATAAATTTGGATTTAGGATCACTCATTCATGATTCTCTAGCAATAAATGCAATATGTAATTTTGATGTGTTAGGAAATCCACCACTGCTGAAAAAATTAATATCCTATTGCCTTTTCAAGGTGTTGATAGAAGAACTTTAAAACTCAAGATCAAGAGAGCTACAAAAGCAGCTCTTAGAAGACTAAATAAATCAAGTGCACTTCCGCAATGCAAAATCCACATATACATTAACAAAGTACAGGTATATGTCACCAAATAACACACAAACATAAATACTTCTAACATTCAAAAGGAGGTTATGTATCATCTCGACGGCAAAGTCATCTGCCTATCATATTCTCTCTATAATAATTGGAAAGAATAGAAACTGAAGAATATTAATCCAGTTACACATCCCTCACTAATCACTTCATACACCAGCTACTTTTCAGCCTCAATCTGATCACTTGATCCATCAATTTGTATGGTCCTCTCTTGTGATGTATCACCAGGAGGCAAGTGCAAAGGAATAATCTGAATCTCACCATCTCCCTTTTCATAAAAGACCATAAGTACAAGGGTGAACTATCCATCTCAATATCTAAAAAGCATAATTCTACTCTACTTAGGGTATTGCGGTACAATTCTTCAATACTAGCTAAAACTCCTTAAAATCAGCTTTATGTCGGTAGAAATTGAAATATGTAGAAGAAAACAAAAAATCTCCAAATCGGGGAACATTGAAAAAGATAAATTCCAGTTAATACTCCTAAAAATTATCTGCTACGAGAATATATTTATTCGGCCGAAACATACTTTGACGAGAAGGAGAACAGGAAAAATGAACAGATACAATACCAGTTANCTATTGGGTGATGAACTTCTTGTTTATGTGAATACAAATTGCTAGGTTAATCTTTATTTGTTCAACTTCGTGTTTGTTGTAGTTAATTGACAGGATCCTCAATTAGCTGTGCCTATTTAGTGTGCATAACTTGGAAAAGAGTGCATATTTAGGGTATTGTTGAACAACACCACTCCTAGATTATTAGAGGAATCTATAATTGCGGGTTTAAAGGCGGAATTAGGGATAACGAAGCCTTGGGTGTAATCTAAAGTGAATCGTGCTAAATAAAGTAAGCTAGTGTATCTCGGGAGAGTGCAATAGTAAATTACTGTGATTACTCGGGAGAGATTTACGGTAAGATTAGCGTTCATGATTGATAGAGATGTGTTGGTAAATTTGTATGAGCATAAACAGAAGGGATTCCATCAATAGGGGAAATCGTTGCCTTAGCTTTTTATCATAATTGTTTACAACCTTATTAGTTTAGTTTACAGCTATTTAGTTACTTGCAAGCGTAGTTGTTAAAGAACATTCAACTGAGATTTGAATATTTGGGAAGCTGGTTCTGAAGAATTAGTGGGTCTGAAGATAGTGGTTGATAGGTTAACTCTCTGTGGATTCGACCCTGGGCGTAATACTCGGGTTATATTTGCAATGTCCGCAGAGTCCTTTTTATAAGGCATAGTTGGGCGTGATCAGCGGTACGAATCAAGAAAAATAACTTATCTCGCCACATTGTTGTGATGGTTGATAAATTCCCTTGAGAGGAATATCAGTTTCATTTGAGAAAATGGAGGAACACAACGTGCCAGAATATGAACACGGTAAAAAGAGTGCTCGGATAAAGTTTAATCAGAAAATGCACAGAAACAATGTCTTTGACACAATCGATGAGATCGTTGTCCGCAAACTAGCTTCAGAAAGCTGTTTATTGCAGAGACGGGATCGTTTAAGTGGACAACAGCTTCTGAAGGAATTGAAGTCAGACATAGACCACCTCAATGCTAAGAATATGGAGTGATTGTCATGTGTATTTAGGCAGTGATCTCCGGTATACTCCCACATTGGGTCTATGTCTATGTTAGTGTACTATGTCCACTTGCTAGGCATGACTAACCTCAATATAACAAACAAATGAAGAGGAAATAATTAAAATCTTTTACCCGATAAAGAAGAGGAGCTACTCAATTGAAGAGCAAAAACATTATGGTCTCTGGAAAAGCAAGAAGGGCATACAAAAGGATTAAATCAGATAGAAAAGCCCCTCCAATCTCAATTCTCATTGAAGACCTGGTAAAGGAGTATCATGAGCGCTCGAGACTCATTGCATTACACAACTCAAAAAGATAGACATAAAGCTTTATCAACACTTCCCTATTCTCAATCATAGGTAAATGATACAGATTAGTTGAGAAGTCTAGACCAATGATGAACGCTAAAGCTTTAATTGTAGTAGCCATACAGGTGAAGATCAACATATAAAGAACAAATCAGCAGCCAGCAGGTAATGAGAAGAATTAAACCACATCATTTACAGAAGACAAATGATTAAGGATAAGTTTCATCACGGATTTAGCCATGAATATTGTTGTTTGATATTAGCTTGACCTTGATTATAATTCACCAATATATGGTTGTTTCTTCAATTCTATGTTTAATTGCTTAATTGTCTGGCCAACAGTTAGGTTCTATTTACTATCTATGCTATGCTTGGGAAAGCCGTGTTTAGATTAGAGAAGAATTGAAGAGAGCATGATCTTAACCCTTAGGTGGAGCGGATTTGTGGTTAGGATAGGAATATACCTAGTTGTATTTAAGTTGTATGATATTGTAGTTGTATTTAACTGGGTAGAAATAATGTATGAAAGTTATAGATAAGTTGTAAATAAGTTGTATAATATATGATTACTACGTATAAATCAAAAGATCAATTAAAGAGCTAGAGATTATTTGATCACACTCAATGCCGATGATAACAGCTCTTGCAAAAATCTATTCACCAAGTTCAACTGATGTAATGCTTGCACAGGCACTTATCACACTTGAAAAACTAAATTTGTCCATACTAAAATGCATCCTATTCACCCTGCGGAAAAGATCCAGTGCTTCAACTGGACAACCAGTTTGACTAAGACCTATTAACATGTAGTTCCAAGATATCAAGCTCTTATAGGGCATTGACTCAAATAACTTCCTCGCCTCTTCAATTCTGTTGGAATTAAAATAAATGGCAATCATAGAACTGAGCTAGACAGTGTCATGTACTTTGAGTTCATTAAAGACATTGGCAGCTTTATCAGGACGTCCACATTTAGCATATGTGTCAAATAAACTAACAGCGAGAAAATATGTTTTTTTAAGGATTAAAAAAAAAAGATAGAAACAATTAGCAAACAAAAATCCCTATCTATAAGTTCGATCCGGAGAGAAGAGGGGAGAGAGGAGAGAAAAAAGAAAAAGGGTATAACTAAATCCCTTGATTGAAGACACTAATAATGGATTGTGAGCTTTTTAAGGTGGATTGTATATATTTTGTAGCTAAAACGTGTTTAGGTCGGGTAACTACAAAAACTTGGACATTTTTCGTAATAAGGTTTCAAATAATATATAGAAACGAAAAAATTCCTATTTAATTCGTAAAAAGTAGTCTTGTTTGCATATAATATAAAACTTGAACCATATTTCTGAAAACATATTATGTTTAAGTTTTTTCAAGCTTAAAACAACTTTTTTGAAGCACTTGTAGGATGGTTGCCAAACTATTAAAAAAGTTTATTATATTAAGAAGAATTACCAAGTATAAATCGTTATTAAAGTAAAAGTTATACATTTTGTATTTGGGTAAATGTGCAACTAGCTGGATATTAATTGGTTGAGAAATATGGATAATTGGATAGGATCCTTTAGCCTTTATTCGCGTTTGGTAACGGGAAAGATTCATGAATACCGATAGAAAATAAATATTTACTCATCTCTACCTAAATCAAAATATTTACGAGTCTTAACGATTAGTATAGTCATTAACCCTTATACTTATTTATAACTTGATCTTTTTTCATTTCTTTTTCGTCCTTTTTTTCTCCTTTTCTTTTTTCTTTCTTTTTCGTCCTCTTTTTATCTATTTTTTATTACTCCCTTTTCTATCTTTCTTTCTTTTCTCCTTTTATTTTTTCATTCCCTTTTTTCTTTTTCTTGTTTTTCTTTTTTTTTCTCTTCTTAAATTTCATTTACTATTGCCAAATTTTATTTTGTCATAGTCGATTTCATTCACCTTTTTGCTTTTTTATTTTTATTTTTATTTTTTCCTCTTTATCAATAAAAGACAAAGTGATATACTGCACAATTTTAATTTTCTCTATATCAATTATCAGAAAATAACTTATACGTTACACTTTTTATTTTTATCTTTTTTATATTTTGTAAATATTTCTAGCATAGTATACCGAAAGCATATATTAGTATCACAACAAAATGATATTTTAGTATCTAAGACAATAGTATACCTATACGATATATAAATACACCAAATAGGTATATTATTATTTTATGTGCACTCTAACACCTACTTTTGGTGCAGAGAATAATATCTCCATGAAACTCCATTAAACACCTCGTTTAAAAAATACATGAGAACCGCGTTAGAAAATTAAAAAGGGACCTAGGGAAGATTTTTAAAAAATTAATAAAGGAGCAAATTGTGATAGTATACTGTTACATTATAGCGTATACTGGAACATACTATTATAATGAATTATATACTGTTGAATAAATCTTGTATACCAAAATGGTATACACAATCGTCTTCTTCGTTAGTTTAACTCAATTTCGACCTAAATTTTAAAAATTTACTCAAAATTTTTACGAAATTGACTCAAACTTTAGCCACAGCCTCCAATCATATTCAAATTAAAATTTAAAAAAATATGAGAACTTTGAAAATTTGAAAAATAACCCAATGAGAATTTTCTAAAAATTTAAAAAGGACCAAAGTATAACATTATGATATTACAGTGTACTATATACTATAATAATATACTGTTGGAATGAACTGTATACCAAAATGGTATATTTTTATATCATATTGGTATACAATACAAATTCGTCTTCTTCTTTAGTTCAGCTCAATTTCGACCAAAATTTCAAAGATCTACTAAATTTTTTTCCAAAATAACTCAAACTTTAGCCACAACCTCCAATTAACATTCAAACTAAATATTTTAGCTTAAGAAAACATTTGAACCATGAGAAATCCATTAAAAATTTGAAAAATGACCCAATGGAAAAGTTTAAAAAGGACCAAATTATAATAGTATATTATTATATTATATTGTATATTGTATCAGCAACCAAAATTGTAACGACCCGGCCGGTCGTTTTAAGAATTTACTCCCCGATCCCCTATTAACTGCTTTCCCCGTGTTTGTTTCTGCTATTGTGAGTTGCCGGGAGGATTTATTTGGAGTTTCGGAGAGTTTTGGGACACTTAGTCCCTAAACGAGAGTTTAAGTTTTAAAATTTGGACCGTAGTCGGAGTAGTGTGAAGACGACCACGGAATGGAACTCCGTTGGTTCCGTTAGCTCCGTTGGGTGATTTCGGGAGGTTGTCGGAAGAGTTGGAAGTGGTTTCGAGCAGCTGAAGCTGCTGATCTTCTGCCATAACGGCACCTGCGGTTGGGGACCGTTGGTGCCGAGCCGCAGAAGCGGCGCTAGCATCGCAGAAGCAAAAAAGGGGAGAGCCAGCAGGGACCGCAGAAGCGGGCAAAGTGGCACCGCATCTACGTAAAAGTGGTCGCATGTGCGGAAGCTGGGTTTTTAATGAAAAGTCGCAGGTGCGATTTGGTCTACGTAGAAGCGGGACCGCAAGTGCGGTCCAAGGGCCGCATATGCGGTTTCATTGGTCAGAAAAGGGGCAGAATCGAGGGTTAAGTTTCAAAACTTGGAAAAATTGATTTGGGAGCTCGGATTGGCGATTTTGAGAGAGATTTTTCACCTGGGTGTTTTGGGTAAGTA